TCCTGAACAGGTGCTCCCAAAGCCCTGGGTAAGGCTTCATTACCCCACAAACTCTAGTCCTTTTAAAATGTTTACTTCTGTATATATGAAATAAACGAGTAGCTTTGGCAACATAGCAAGAACTCATCTCAAAAAGAAAAAAAAGAGTAGGATCAATTGAAAAATCATGGAGGGATAATCTCTGAAAAATAGAAATCCACTGGATTATGTCTGGCCTCCTTTTCCTGTATTGGCTTTTGTCCTATGGGAGACCATTATACAGAAGTGAGAGGAACTTGATTGGTTTATTATTTTTGTTGTTTGGGGTCAATTAATGAGTAATGGTACATTTATTAAGTGGACAATTTACAAACTATTGTAGCAACCTCATCTCAAGTGATCCAGACTATTCCATGGGAAATCATGCTTTGAGATGCATTTTCATATATAGCACAATTCCCACACCAAAGTCCAGCAGTTCTCAAACTTCACTGGGCACTAAAGTCTCCTGGAGGAACTGTTAAAACAGAATCCTGGGCCCCACTCACAAAGACTCTGATTCAGTAGATGTGGGGGGTGGGAGCCCTCCTCCTGTTCCCCATTCCTCTCTTGGAGAAATGTGGCAGAGATTAGCATTTATTCCAAAGGAAGACAAAGAAGGTCAACTCTTCAATGTGATGCAAAATACAATTACACAATGACAGTAATCCTACAAGTTAGGCTATTGTTTTGAGAAATAATTATCCATATCTGGAAATTTATCCTTTTAGCATATTAAAAAATCAAACTTGAAGCAATTAGCAGATAGGACTGTCTACAGAATAGAGGGAACTAACTGTCCTTCCCACTACTAAAATTTAGATAGAGGGCTGGGGTTGTGGCTCAGCGGTAGAGTGCTTGCCTAGCATGTGTGAGGCCCTGGGTTTGATTCTCAGCATCACATACAATAAAATGAAAGTATTATGTCCACCTACAACTAAAATAATATTTTATAAAAACTTAGATAGAATCAGAGTGAGGAGACTAGGACAAGGAAGCTTGCCTATTTCCAGACCCAATGTTGGTAGGAAAATGAAAACAAAGAGTTGTGTGCTCCTGAGTTCCAGCCTAGGGAGATCCCAAGTAGAGGGGATGGAGAAGTTGAAGGAGATCCCAAGGCAGAGAATACTGCTTCTGTGGAATCCTGGAAAGAGCCCACTTGTTGGGACCCTCCCTGAACATTCTAGAAAGCAGCCACATCAACTTAGTAGCACACATATCTGTTGTGGCAAAAATAGGATTTAGACCTATCTGGAGATACTGGACACGATAGAGTCAAGTAGTTCTTGAGAGAATACCACTGAGCAAACCCACAGGAAGGCCCTCTCTGGGACTGAAGACAGCTAAAGATCCAAGATCTCAGAGATCTTAAAAAGCTGAGGGAGGCTGATCCAGTCAGGAAGTGCTACTGGATCCTAGCAAGCTGTGGGAGGCCAATCAAGACTAGTCAGTCTCCACCCAGGCTTCCACTGCAAGGGCCAGGCAGGCAGGAAGTAGATCACTAAGGAACACCCTGCAGGGCACTAGAGGTGAGGAACATTGTGCCCAGAGATATAAAGTGTCTTTATGTACATTAGAATAAGGCAAAAGGGTACCTGTTTTAGTCAGCATTTTTGTTGCTGTGACCCAAAGACCTGACAAGAACAATTAGAGGAGGAAACATTTATTTTGACCCAGTTTCATGGGTCTCAGTCCATTGAGGGCCAACTCCATAGCTCTGGACCCAAAGTGTAGCAGAACATCAGGGGAGAGAAAAGCAGCTCAAGACATGGCAACAGGAAGCAGAGCCCTGCTCACTGGAGACAAAATATAAACCCCAAAGGCATGCCCCCAGTGACCTGCCTCCTCCAGCCACTCACTACCCATCTACAGTTACCACCCAGTTAATCCATATATCAGTGGATTAATGCACTGATTAGGTTAAGACTACCCAAACCCAATCATTCACTTCTGAATGTTCTTGCATTGTCTCATATGTGAGCTTTAGGGGGATACCTCATATCTGAACTATAACAGTACCCATCTGGGATGATCAGTTGGAAAAAGATGTCCCTTCATTTGATACAGCTACAGTTGGATCATGACATGGCACACAGGGCATGGTCTAGAACGAACGCTACTCCAAATACAACATGGCCAGTTCAAGACACAAATGGACCAACCATACACAGAAACTGGGCCAGACTCTCCTCTACCATATTCCTACCCCCAGACACCATCTTAGCCAATTAGGACTAAAGCCAATTTTATTTCAGAGAGACTCCCTCTATCTAAGTGGACTATTTAAATGATCAAATATACTACTTTAAGCTGAGAGAACCATGTGATTAAAATTTACTTTTTTTTTTTTTTGCTTGCTTGGGGAATAGGATTGTGGGAGAAAATTCTGATTGATGATATACCAAACTTTTTTGGTAATTGTTTGCAAAGCTGGCTGCAATGATTCCTCCTACTTATCTGTGCACAGCCTGCAGCAATAGAACTTGATGCTCTGCTCCTCCTGTGGATGAGTGTGTTTCTCCTTCCCTGGAATCTGGGCTTAACCATCTGACTTTCTTTGGCAACTGAGATGTTATTACACATGAAGCAAGTAGAGACTTCAACATATGGGGCTTGCCTTCTCCGTCACTTGTGATGAGCCTGTTGGAAGATGAGCTTCCATGTGCAGAGGTCTGAGAACTGCAAAATCACCAGAGCTTGGAGACATCTGACCAAACTCTAGCATGGTTTCTAACAACTTTGTTTGTCCGACCGACTTTGTCTGGACAAACTCAAGGCTGCCCAAAGAATTTACAGTGCATTCCAGATAATGCCTGCAGACAGGGCCCTAACCTTTCTTTAAGCATTTAGTCAAAACAAAACAAAAACTGCTTGCAATCATAAATCCTTCCTGTGTCTTTATGAGATGTATATGTGTCTCCTGCAGCCAAGAGTGTCTTTTTGCAGAATCTGAAGTCCATTCCTTTGAAAGGTGACCTTTAGGGAGGACAGGATCTTGCCACCCAGTCTCTGGGGGAGATGGGTTCCTAAACCTGATAAGGCCAGTTAGCAGACACCCTTGGCCTAATCGCATGGACATTGGCCAGCATTCTCACAGGCTTTTTGTAATTCTTCACTTCTCTGACTCTGGGTGTCTGCAAAGCTATCATTTTCCCTTTAAACGACCCAGTCTATGCTTTGCAAATTGGGATAGAGCTCAGCTCTTTCTGGCTGCTGTTTTTATAGAATAATCTCTGTTTTTAAATTCTGCCCCCCTCCCCCACCCAATAGGGGGCATTGAATCCAGAGGCATTCTACCACAAAGCTACATCCCCACCCTTCCAGCCCTTTTTATTTTGTATTTTGAAAGAGGGTCTCACTAAATTGCCCAGGCTGGCCTCAAACATGTGCTCCTCCTGCCTCAGTCTCCTGAGTAGCTGAGATTACAGGCAGGTGCCACCATGCCTGGCTTTGTTTTCGTTGCTTTTAATGTCTAGATTTGTTTATCCTTGATAGGTCCCAGCTGCCCAAGAAATCTTTTACCAGTCAAGATCCCAAAACACCTGAGTGTAGTTAAGCTTAGGCCAACAACTCCCATTAAGCCAGCCCAGAAGTACCACTCAATCCACACTAAATGTTTGAGAAATAATGACATTTTGTTGTTGGAATCTACTAAACTTTGGGCTGATCTATTACAAAGTAAGAGCTGGATTTTAGAAGTATGTTTTATTTCCTGCAAAGTCACGTTATACAGAAAGTTAAATATGAGGCTCCATTTTATTCGTTTTGAAGGTCTCAAGAACCCGACTAAAAGTGTGCTAACTAAAATCAACTGGGGAGGTGGATTGCAAAACAAAATGCAAGGCAAATGGATTACTTAAAAAGCATTCATTTAAACTACATTCCGTGAGAAAACTGTCACGTTTACTAGGAGAAATGAATAGTCACCCACCAGGTAAAATAGAACTGGCCACAGACTAAGCACCGCACATGCCTGTCTGAGTCTGGCAGCTGTAACGAAATACTGTACACTGGTAGTTTATAAACAAAAGAAATACATTACTCACAGTTCTGGAGACTGGAAAGTCCAAGGACAAGGTTCCAGTAGACTCTATGTCTGGTGCGAGCTCTTGGTGTGGCTTCTTGCTGTGCTGTCACTTGGTGGAAAAGGAAGAAGGGCTCTCTGGGGCCTCTTTTAATCCCATGCAGGACCTTTCCACGCTTGCTCGTAGCCCAATCATCTCCCAAAAGGCCCCACCTCCTAATTACCAATACTCTGGGGGTTAGGATTCCAACATGAATTCTGGGGGACACAAATATTCAGTCCACAATAGTGCCTATCTATGATACACTTTTCTTGAGGATTCTTACAGAGTTATAACATTATTTTGTGGCAACCAAGTGCAAAATGGTTATTGCTACTATATGCTAATTTGACCAATGACTGACTTAAAAACAAAGTAGCCTCCAGGTTCTCCCAGTCCAGTGGCTCTTGTAACTCCTTTACATTGGGAATTACTTTCAGGGGTGGCTGAGAAAGATGGAGCTGCAGAGACAGTACCAGGACTTGCACATTGCTGCATAGGAATTATTGGTTTCATGTCACATGAGGAAAGAACAAAGATTAAGAACTTTAGTCGGGTGTGATTGATTGCCATGTCTACCAACAATGAGGAAAGAAGCATAGCTTTGGTGCTCCCTGGCTCTGCTGATCAATGCCTGTGCATGTTTGTCATTTTTTACTAGACTGCGTGAATCTTATTCCTCACAACATCCACATTATGCCATAGCTGAGAATCTCTTAATCATTTAGTTTTTAGCAAAATTTACTTTTTTTTTTTTTTTTTAACAGTGCTAGGGATGGAGCCCAGGACCTCGTGCATGCTAAACAAGCACTCTCACGGAGCCACCCGCTCAGCCAAATTTACAAATGTAATAATTCAATCAGATGCATCTTAAGTTCCATAGATTTTTTAAGATGTATGCTCATAATATTCGTTCAGCTAAAAGTATGACACAGGACATGAAAACAAATTGGAAGTCAGAGAAAGTGGGTGCATGGAAATATCTTGCCTGCTTTCAGGTGCTTTGTAGACTTCCATGAGGGAAACACCTTTATTGAAGACTAGGAAAATCAGCACCCCGGTGTAATTTATAAAATCAAGCAAGTTTGGCAAACTTAGTGGCCCAGATGAAATGATTCCACTGACATCGAAGATGTAAGAATCCTGGACAAAAAACAAAAATTATTTTCCACTTCAGAAAAGATGTGAACCAAACTCTGGAAAGCACACTGATCTGAAATGCTGACTCTGTTGATGGGAAAACCCCCAGAAATTGGCAAAGGCAGGGGAATGTTAATAAATGTATGTACTGGCATAAAATACACAATTTGAAAACCACTTGCTTTTTGCTTAAAGATTCTTTATAACATTATAGAATGTTTACCACATTCAAAATGAAAAGCTGATTTGTCATTTTCCTTGATTATGCTGTTATGCATTACATTGGCTGTTAACTTAGCACACATTTGTTGAGCACCTGCTATTTTCCAGCTCCCGTGCTGGGAGGTAGAGCAATTGGAAACAGGTAATTGTGATGCATGTAACAAGTGCTGTCATGGAAATAGGTAGAAGCTTCTGTGAGAGGAAAAAAAATGCTTTTGTATTCATTCTAGCCTTAATTTCTATCAGGCACTTGTGTCCTACTTACTAAATGCTTGGGCCTGACATTCACTTTCTCACTTAATAGTCACAGGAATGCCCAAGGTTGAGAGAGATTCATTAATTCAATATTGAGCACCTTTTGTTTCCTAGGTTCTAGAAATATAAAGATGGAGAAGATGCAGTCCCTGACTTCAAAGAATTTTTAACCTAATTTACAAACTACTTGCACAAGGCACTGGAGCTAGTGCAGCCAATGCTGAGATTAGTCCTGCTGCTGGAGCTAGTACTTGAGCCCACTTATGATGGTTAACACACAGTCCTTGGGGCACTCACTCACTGCTGTGCTGTGTCAGGCTCTGGGCCAGGTCTGATCCAGCTCTCCTATTCCAGTGCATGTTTTTCCTCCCACATCAAGGCAGCCCTTGTGATCCCTAGTGGGGCATGCTCCATGGGGAAAGCCAGTGTGTGTGATGGGGTGCACCTGTGATTCACCTTACTCTAGGGACCACCATGAAATGGGTAGCTTCTCCCTAGTCTGAAAGCCCTTACCCCCTCCCTACTACTGAAGAAGGACACCTGCTTCATCCCTTACCCTTTGCTTTTCCTTTCAGGGCTGCTCAGGACTCTGGGGACTCAGTGTCAGCTTTTCCTGTTTATTCTTATCTCCTTGAGGTTCTGCTTCTGGGTACTTTCCAGTTTCCAAAGTGCTGAAAGATATATTGAGTCCCCTCCTCCACCAGGCAGCTTATTGCAGAGATTCAGGAAAAAAGAAAAGCAGATGTAGTATGCACTTTAATTTAGAGTTTGTCCCTGTTACACTGTTAAAACCATCAGTCTTGACCTCTTGGGTTTGCTTGGACTAATGAAGGTTGCAGCAAACATGATTTTTACATTTTCAGAAGGAGTTTTGGGACTGTTCAAACACAGATTAAACTCATTAAATTGAATAAGCATTTTAAGGTCTATTGAAGTGTAATCACCAATAATGGAACTTTCCAGGTTAGAGGCTGGATGACAGAGATGAAGGAGGCAATCCATGCCCTCAGGGAGCCTCTGATTTAATCAGAAAGGAAGTTGTTTTGTGTGGTGACTGGGAGCAGGGGTTGGCAAACTTCTTCTGAAGAGGGTCAGATAAGTAAATGGCTTTGTGGGCCATATGGTCACTGTCACACTACGTAACTCTGCCTTTGCATGAGAGCAGCCAGAGACCATAGTGAACAAAGCTACATTCCAATAAAACTTTATTTGCAAAAACAAGGCTAGATTCACCTGTGGGCCACAGTTTGCTGACCCCTGATTTGTCTCTACCACCAGACTGCGCGCTTGACCACTCTCGCTCTGTCTCTGTGGGACTTTGGTCAGTCCACTAATCCCTCCATGTCTCAGATATCTTATTTGTAGGGTAGGAATATGAATAATGTTTGCTTTGTGAGCTTGTTCTAAGATTCTGTGAGATGGGCTCACTCTGGGCAGTGACTAGCTCCTGGTAAGAACACAAATGTTAACTATCACTACTAAGCCAGGAGCCCAATCAGGGTAGAGGGGACTACAGTAGGATGAAAGCTATAGAAGCACAGAAAGGGGATCTTAAACCATAAAGCTTTGAAAACAAATTATCTTCCAAGTAGGAACTTTAGCAAGGCCTCCTGAGGTTTTCTCTGACCTCCCCAAACATAACTGGGTTTTACTCTGTTCCCATCAGGCCTTGTGCAAACCTCCATTAGGTTCTTTGGAGGCACCCCCGCCACCCCCAAGTAATTGATAGTCAATGTCCCCATTCCATTGTGAGCTGCTCCAGAATAATAATGGTATTCTCCTCTTCTGGGATCCAAGGATCTGCAGCAGGGCTGGACCATGTGAGAGGATTACTCAGTATTGTTGAATACTTTTCAGTGTTTAAGATTCAATATAGGTCCAGCTCTGCAAAGTCAGTCCAGTTTAGAGGAAGTTTTGGAAGCACTGTTCAAAACCACTACTAAAAACCTTCTCCTTTTTGCTATAGTTCCTAAATTGGATTTTTATCATTCTGAGTGTCTGTTGCCTTTCTTTCTGAGGGTCAAGGACAAATTCCTGTAATGCTTACAGGACATTCTTGAATAACCAATTGCCCTCTGATTATTAAACAAATAATCTCATACTCATAGAACTGAAAAATCCCAAAGTTGGACACACTGAGCTTGGCCATTTTGTGGTGGGCGGAGGCTTTGCCACTGTGCAGAGACCCAGATAAACAAAGTGAGAGCAAGCCAGACAGCCAGCTCTCCATCACCCATGCAATAGGCATTCTCCAAGGCCTTTCTGGCAGAGTGCAGAGGGGTAGTGCCAAATGGGGACACAGCTGACATCCACCTCAATTCTAACAGACACAGATCAATGGGCCTGGCACCTGGTTCGTCTCTTATTTGAATTGCTTTTGAGAGGCCAGGGTAGGGAAAGCCGACAAGCCCTGCAACACAATGTGCTACTGGCTTTGGCCAAATGCACTTCAGCTGTCTGCCTCTCCATTATGGTGAGTCACTCTAGTCCAGGTCGGAGGGAGCAGGGAGAGAGGCCTCTTTATGAAGACTGCAGTGGGGAGATCAGCAGAGAGGGGCTATGCAGAGGGAGAAGGGAGGGTAAGGGGAAATACAAAGGAATGATATTGGCCAAATTATATTGTTATACTGTGTGCATGTATGACTATGTAATAACAAATCCCACCATTGTGTATAGCTGTAACGCATCAATTAAAAAATATTAAAAAACAGTCACGAAAAGTGCAGATGAACGAGGCGGGGGGGGGGGGAGGGGGGTGTTGCTGCATCCCAGTTCTCTGTGCAACCTGGGCATTGTTTTTCACTTCTGGCTGTGCCAAAGAGTCAGAGATATAGCAGAAGTGAAGAATAAGGATTTGGAAGAGGAAGAACAAAATGAACATGTACCAGTGCATGGGCAAACAGTGTGCTAGACAGAGATACACACGATCACATCAAATCCCCTGTTTGAAGCCCAGGTCCTTCCTGTCAGAGCATTACTCTGCCCTAAATCCTGGATGCAGTAGCAATTAACAAGCTCTGATCAACCTCCATGGACCTCCAAGTGGTTCTGTCATTGGCTTATGCTGTCCTGCAGCCCAGCTTGCTATGTTGGCTTTCCTCAAATTCAATGTTCTCTCTTCTGCCACAGGAACTTTGCACGTTAACTCTGCTATCTAGAATTCTCTTGCTTCCCTGACTTCCTCTCTCTAGCCTTTTATCTAAATAAAGTCAAATCTGGGTCTCTGTTAAGTTTCCTTCCATCAGGAACGTCTGACCTTAACCCTGCAGCATAGGTTAAGCATTTAGCTACAAGCGTTTTTCTTCTATTTAGCCTTTTTACCTTCATTTGCAATTATGCGTTTATTAAAGGTAAGGAAATAGTTCATGTAGTGAGTGTTTCATCCCCATCCTTCCTCTAAAGCCAGACTACAAGGATTTAAATTCTATCACCAACACCTACCAGATTTAGGTAAATCACTACCTTAATCTAAGCCTCAGTTTTTGCAACTATAATGTAGGAATCAGAATAATGTCAACCTAGAGTTGGTGGCAGGGTGAGGTGTATGAACACATATGAAACCCAGAATGATACCTGGCTCCATAAATGCCAGCTACTATTACTATGGAAAACATTTTGACCCTTGCATTTCTGCTAGAACAGATGTACTTGAGATCTCTATTTTAATCACTCCTGACTTCTTGGTCTTGACCAACCAGTTTTGCTGTCAGATTGATTTATTTCTGTCTGTTTCTTGTCTTCAATCCCAGACCCTGTTTACAGTCCCAAAGCTAAACTGGAAATCACTAGCCTTTGGCTCTGGTCTGCTGCAGGAGAGAAGCAAAACCCATGAGCAAAACAGGACCCAACTAGCGCTGGCCTGGGGACAGCGCCATCTACAGGTTGGAAGTGAGTGGAGGGCAGAGAGCTGACAGGCAGGTGAACACTCCAAAATGCTCCTCAAATCTGCTCTTATAATATTTCCTCATTGCTTCCTCTCTCACTCTCCTCCCAGTTGGATGACATTCCGTAAAAGCTTACCTACGCACCCACGACTTGAGACTTTTAGTCCTGAAAAAAGACTCTAAGAAGATTTATGTTGATGGAGTGTTTCCCAATATAATCATTCCTTTAATATTTATATTTATTTAGGTACATGTACTTTGGCAGAGGTGGGGGGGAGGTTATTGGGGATTTAACACTGGGGAACTTCCACTGAGCTACATTCCCCAGCCCTTTTTTAAATTTTGAGACAGGGTCTCATTAAGTTGCTTAGGGCCTCACTAAATTGCCCAGGCTGGCTTTGAACTTGTGATCCTTCTGCCTTAGTCTCTTGAATTCCTGGGATTATAGAGATGTGTCACCACACCCAGGTAGGATTACATTTTTGACATGGTTAGATTTTTACTTTATTTTAAATTAGTTTTTAATTATAGAAGCAATATACATACACATGGTTTAAAGTTCGTACTCATTAGAAGGTTAGAAAACTTATTAAAAAGCTCGATTCTAGTTTATACATGCTTGTACATCCCCTTGTAGAAAAATGTTTGCAAATATGGATTTTGTGCAAACAATATGCATTATGTACCCATTTATTTTCCAAAATTGATGTATTATACAGATCATCCTCACAAGGGCATTATTTTTAACAAAGTTTGTCTTAGTTTAAAAGATGAATGGTGACTGAAGGAGAAACAAAAACGTTCAAAATGCCACTTGTCAACCTGTGCCAATTCTTCTAGCACTATTGATCTATGACTCACCCTTCCCAACACAATCAAATTCTGTTATTTCAGGAAAGGCCATTATTTCAAAACCAAAGGAAAATGTTGGTCTTAAATAGGGCGTTGACTGTACCTGTACCTAGTAGTCTCTGACTAAATGTTAGCTGCTGTTACTGCTACCATCCTCATTATCTCTATCACCATATTCTAGAAGGACCAGCTGACTCTTCCTGTCTGTGCCACCACTGTCTTTGTTCTAGATTTGCGGGGAGAGGGGTGGTGGTGGTGGTTCATATGTGTTTTCTTCTGAATTTTACTTCTCTTCAAGGCCCTCAGATTCTCTTTTCCTAGGGACATAACAGGAGAGCAACCTTCTCACTGGCAACCTCCTTGTAAGCACAAAACTTCGACCCTTAAAGATAAATAAGCAGCCAATAGTCAGCAGACTGGAGGAAAGCTCAGACATAGGATCCAGGAAATAGGAAACCCAGCACAGGAAAGAAATGATGAAAATAAGCAGGATGAGGAAAGTAAGTTCCATGAGAATAGCTCTGTAGTAGGTCAACAAAGAAAGCAGAGAAGATGGTACAAGTGGGCAGAGGATGTCTCCAGGGAAAATGTGTGACTAATCGGCTACCTGATATGCTTGATCAGACTTTTAAATAAGTAAATCTGGCTACAAATAAATGATATATGCATTTTGAAAATGTAAGGGCATCAAAAATAAACAAAATCAACTCTAGGAAAAACAAAACACTCTACAGGAAAGGAAATTTAATAACAATGCCTGTAGAGTCATAGAAATGTAGACACAGGATAGTAATTTAACCAAAACTTGGAATGTAAATAAACATGGAAGACAGTAGAATGAGGAAATTGAGATGGCAGAGACCTATAATAAATATCTTTATCTTCCAGAGTATGGGAAAATCATCTTCTAAAAAATAAAATTGGAAAAAATCAAGAAATATCTGTAATAGCATATTGCTTAGTATGACAGTT